AACTCAGTTTCGTTCCTAGAACATGTGTGTCCTTTTGCCCCCAGTCCACCCAATTCCTCCACTATGGCATATCTAAGCACAAACAATGGATCCAATATAACCTTATAACTTATAACTCCAAAGAGTATTAAATAGAAAAAAAAAAAAGAAAGAAAACTGTTAGGTTATTGTGTTTGTTGGCTGTTTGGCAAACTAAGTTTTTTTTTGTAAGTAAAGGTCCAGAAAATAGTAACTAGAAATCATCATGGTATTCCGGATTGCTACAGTGGAGTTGGTGCATTGTGCAGATTAGTTGTTGCTAACAGATAAGGAGAAGATAAAGCCAAGCACGTGAAGATCTCGATCCTTTATTTGAATTTGTACCTGATCTAATTTTCTAAGGAAGTTCGGATTTAGAAATCAGGAAAGATAATCCGGAGGATTTGGAATTCAAATTTAAAAGAAGATTATGCAGAACACATCGGAGATAATCGTGGAGAATTGTCACGACCCCAAGGATAGGGCCGTGATTATTTTAAAATTTAACTTAATTAAATTAGACTGTTTAACCAAATCACAAAATAATTACATAAATATCAATATAGTTTGCTCCGGAGACTTTATTTCACAAATAATATTTAGAATAGTCCATTAAGTCCAAGAAAAATAATACAACTCAGGGACAATGTCGACCAATACACTTTACATATAAAAATACAGTACATCTCAGAATTTAAAACTGTAAATCCGAAATAAACGTACCGCTTCGAATTTTGCACTTTCAATCCATTGGCATCCACTTGTCACGCTGCAAATCTAAACCGCTAACTCTGGAGGAGGGGTTTGAAACATTGAAAACATAATAAAAGTGAGCGGAATGCACAGTAGGATATACTTTTTATAAAAACATTTTAAATAAAGGTACTCGCGGTCTGAAGACATATACCCAGAACCGATCATCCTTTTTAGAAAAGGAAATACTCACATAGTAGAAAATATATGTATAATGAAAGTGTGTAGCTCATCATACCACTGAACAAGGAGCGGTAAAATGTCTGTCTAGTGAAAAGTGTAGAGCCATAATTCCACTGAGCAAGAAGTGGATCCGTACGGGTTTCGGGACCTGCCCTCAAGGATGTGATTCCCACATCCCGATCTCTGAGGCCACCATGCGTTGTATCATTCCTTAAAGTATTTCATTTTAAGAAATGATACTCTTTAAAATCTCATTTCCAAAATCATTAGAAAACTTAATAGCATTCTCATGCTATTCCTTTGAAATCATTTTCTTTAAACATGTTTTGTTCTAAAACATTTTCATTGGCTAAAACCATTTAAAATGAGGCTAACAAGGATATGGACAAGAATATCCTACCTCTCGGATGTCAAACCTAGGCTAGCCTTCCGTTCTCCTAGCCTCCGCTTTCCTTAAAGCTTTAATACTTGACCTTCTCCACTAGCTTTATCATAAAAGCAATATCTTAGGAAATATTTCTCATTCCTAAAACGAATTAAGCTCAATTATGTTTAATTGTTTCTTATTAGTGTGCATTGACTCAAATCCAATTTCACAAACGATTTTATAATCAGTTTGAGGGGTCTTTAAAGATTGAAATCCAATCCATGAGTTTAGTTTCCTATTTAATTTCAGCTTAAAAACAACTTTTTAAAGAAATTTCGGCAGCATGCCAACATAAATAGGAAAAATACCAAACCTGCAAATCAAGTTCAATTTCAAAATAATTCTCCAGAATCCATCAAAATCAGTTTCCAATCAACTAAACAAGTCTAATAACTGAAAACCCCTAAATTTCAATCAATTTCAACAACAATTGTTCAAATCTAAACCCTAACTCAAAATTATTCAAATCTAACCAAAATCAAACTTTCTCAAGCTTAAAATTTGAATCAAAGAGTGGGTTTCAAAGGGTTTTACCTTAAATCAGTTGATGGAGCTTTGTCTCCCTCAGTTTCTCCCATTTTCGTTCATTTTTTTTTTCTGAGGCTCTCGGCCAGCTAGCCAAGAGAGAGAACAAAGGGAGGGCGAAACTGCCGGAAAGGAAGAGAGAGAGAGAGGCAACCGGCGGGAGAGAGATCCCAGAGAAAGTGGCCGGCGTGAAGGAAGAAAGAGAGGGAGATGGGCGGCGTGAGAGGAACCAGAGAAGGAAGAAGAAAAAGAAAAAGAAAGAGAGAGCGGGGGGCTGGGCTGTGTCTGGGCAGCCACGGGAGGAAAAAGGAAGGGGAAAAAAGAAAAAGAAAAGAAAGAAAAAGAAAGAAAAAAAAGAAATAGGAAAAAGAAATAAATAAATAAATAAAAATACATTAAAATTAAGTGTATTTTTAAAAACTTTTGAGGTGAAAATTGAAAAACTGAAAGTAATTTATAACTCCTTAAAATACCTGGAAAACTTAATCTTTAATCACAAGATTAATCAGAAAAAAATCAATTTTAGGCACACTAATATACACAATTAACATAATTAAATATGTTTAATTCTAGAGGGCGTTACAAGAATAAGATAAGAGATTTGTATTTGAACAAGATTCTGTGAGCCATTTGAAAGTGGAGATAAAAGGCTTCAGTTCAGGAAATAGTGTGACGCTTTTGAAGGTGCAGCAATTTCCAGAGGGTGTGCTGTTGAGAGAAGATAGAACTTATTGAAAAGTTATGTGCCCTGTTCAGTGATGAAAGTATGAACGACTGAAGGGAGTTCATGAGTTGAATGTGAAGACGTGTGGTACACACTAAACGGAGTCATTGTGCGATTTCGTCACAGCGGTGTCATAGTCTAGGAGGGATTCCTTGAGTGAATAAGTCCGTCAGTGTTGTAATTCTTGAAGTATAATGAAATTGTCTGGGCGTGGCCCCGCAGAGTATGTGTACGCACCGAACTGTGATAACATATCGTGTGTATTTATTTTACTTTCTGCATTACTGTCTTTTCTTAGTAATTAATCTGAATAGTAAGAAAGATGGTAGTGTTCTAGATAGTGTTTCAACATTATCTAGAACATTAGACGTAACATCGATCTATAAAAAACAATTAAAGAAAGAAGGAGGAAAAGATAAGATCCTGACCCAATAATTCCTTTGGTGCCACCGGTCACCAGAGCAGTCATACCATCAAGAGACCATCTATGGCTGCCTCTATTCTCATTATTTGTCTGAGCTATTCTTATATGATACTCAATTTACGGTCCGTTTAATTCGCTGATTCGAATTTTTAATTTGAATTGATATGTAATTTTATGAGAAAATTTTTTATCACAGTAAAAAAATTAGATATAATTATTTTTTAGAGTTTTACACTATAATAAAACTCAAATTGTAAACTGAAATAGGTGAAATAAATGAGTCCGACTCGCCTGATAAATTTTGGGTTTTGGTTAAAATACCAAATGGATGCAAGTGGCTTAACGTTACATTACATCAGTGTCAAAAGGGAAACTCCCACAAGTGACAAGCCTTCCTTCGCCGTGCACGAAATTGGAAAGGAAAATGGTTACGTGTGGACAAGTGTGCCAATTGACTATTCAGGAGTTTTCACCTTCACTCGTTTCATTCGCTTATTTTTAGTCCATGTAAAATTTTTTTATTATAATAAAAAAATTATATATAATTATTTTTGAGAATTTTTTACTATAATAAAAATTATATTTTAAACTCAAATCGGTAAAATAAATATGCATTTATTTTTATCCCTCAACATTGTTTGTTTCACGGCTTCTGAGTTAAAAATTTAAGTTGAAAAGTGAATTTACGTGAAGAAAAATAGTGTAGCAAAAAAATTAAATTTAAAGATTTATGAGAAAAAATATTATAATAAAAAAATTAAATTTAAATTTGTATAAAAATAAATTATATATTAAAAAATTTAAATTGTAAAAAAAAGTACTTTTTAATTTAAATCGTGAAAAGAACGGGGCCTTGAAACTCACGTAATCTTTTCCTAAAATTTTTTTTGCCTACAATATATCACTGTATCAAACGTCAATGTCACACATTGTGAGCGGTAAAAAAGAAAAACCATCACACTATTTACTGCACAATACAATATCAAGAGACCATCTGTGGCTGCCTCTGTTCTCGTTATCTGTCTGAGCCATTTTTATCTGATACTCAATCTAAAAGTCGTTTAGTTTATTAATTTAAAATTTTAATTTAAATTAAAATATAATTTTATATGAAAATTTTTTATTATAATAAAATTTAAATTTTAAATTTAAATCAGTAAAATAAACAGAACTTACAAATACTAGCCTGATAAATTTTAGGTTTTGGTTAAAATACCATATGGATGCAAGTGTCTTAACGTTACATCAATGTCAAAAGGGAAACTCCCACAAGCCTTCCTTCCCCCGTGCACGAAATTGGAAAGGAAAATGATTACCTGTGGACAAGTGTATCAATATCACTTCGACTATTGAGGAGTTTTCACCGTACACTTTTAAAGACTTGTTTAATTCACTAATTTAAATTAAAATATGATTTTATATAAATTTTTTTATTATAATAAAAAAAATTAAATATGATTGTTTTTTAAAATTTTTTCATTATAATAAAATTTGAATCGGTAAAATGAACATGTTTTTATTTTTATCTCCTAATATTGTTTGTTTCACGGCTTTTGAGTTAAGAATTTGAGTTGAAAAATGAATTTACGTAAGAAAAAATAGTGTAACTAAAAAATTAAACTTAAAGATTTATGAAAAAAATATTAAAGTAAAAAAATTAAATTTAAATTTTTATAAGAAAATAAATTATATATTAAAAAGTTTGAGTTATAAAAAAAAGTGAATTGTAATTTAAATTACGAAAGGAATGGAGCGTTAAAACTCACGTGTCTTTTCCTAAATTTTTTTTTTGGCCCACAATATATCACTGTATCAAACGTCAACATCACACATATATGGCAATTACTGCAGAATACAACATATATATGTAGCACATTATTCGAGGCGAAAAATGTCCAATACACACAAATACAAAATATAAAGCCTATTACTCCCATTTAAAAAGAAAATACAAGTAGAACATTATTACAGTACAACATATAACACGTGCCAAACTATAAGAAGATGAAATATAATCGCGTAGATCGGGTTTTGGGCCATAATCCCTTGTGCATCATGCATGGTAAGAGAACAAGGCATTCACTGTAAAGCCTCCGTCAACACAAATAGCCTGGCCACTTATATATGAAGCTGCTGGTAGGCATAGAAATGCCACCAATGAAGACACTTCATTCGGCTCTGCCACGCGTCCAATGGGCATTCGACTAATGGCAGGCTTTAAAAAGCTTTCATCACTAAAAAACTGCATATCAAATTTTGTTAAGAATGAGACGCTTTAATTCTACATAATCAAGAGCAATAAAATAAAGAAAAAATAAATCGATACATAAAATTTATAACGGTTCGTCTTAATATAAGACTACATCTTTTTTTAACTGTTACAGTTTTTTATTATGATCAAGAAGAAGTTTACTATGAGAAAAATCGCACACGTAAAAAAATTTTATACTTTTCTGTGCTTCTCTACCTAACATAAAAAATTCCCCCCCCCCTTTTGTGGTGAAAACTAGGACAAGTTTTATAAGTGTGAAATCGTTAAACTGCCTTTTATTAAGCTCCGCAACTTAACAAATTAAGGAGAGCAACAATTGCAAATTTACCTTACATGCAAATGCAATACTTGTTTGGTACGTATATTTATTTATTTATTTTTATGTGTATTTTTATAAGTAAAGAAATAAAGTAAATCTTCTTGAATAAGAAACTGAAATAGATTGAATAGCAATGCATATATGATAATTAATATCAACTTATTGAGAAGCATAAGGACAAGAAATGTTACAGGTTCAGCTAGAGGGGTTCTAGTAACCGAAGGCAAAACACAATTGCTTCTTATATTGTCTTGCGCCCATTCGCAGGCAAGATTTTTTGTCAATTGGTTCATCTCAGCTGCAAATAATAAATAGATAATATTTACCAAAAATGAGCTTTTCAATCAAATTTGAGTTATAATAAACCAAGCAATAAATATATGGATAAATAGCTATACAAATAAATTTACCTTTAGTAACGGCATACATGGTTCCGACAGGTAATGATATTACACTCGCAATGGAGGAGATAAAAACAATACTAGCTTCTCCTGAAGCTTTCAGAAGAGGATGAGAAAGTTGGCACATATGGTAAGCAGATTCAAGGTTTGTTTTTATTAGAAATGAGAAATCTTCAGCATTGTGCTCTATGGCTGATTTCGGTATGGTGGTCCCCACATTGTTCACCTAGAACCGAAATAATAGAAGTGAAATCAAGTTTTTAGTTTAAAACGTGCATTCATAAGAACACATGCCATAATCTCCTGCCAATATTTCCTACAAGTTCCTTTTTTTTTCCCTTCTAAATTATCTCTACACTGTTCTTTTTTTTTTTTTTTAATTAGCATCTCAATTGCATGTGTTTTGAAATACTAATGTGTATAAGTATGCAACTTAATAATAAGACCTAGTTTTTTAAACTCATAATAAGACCTAGTTTTTAGGTTTGGGGCTATAAACTATGGATTAGTTGCCGGGTAATTAAACTAGATATGTTTAATGAAGACAATGGTTTGGAACTGGTTTTACGAGGATGTTAAGCTTTCCATTGAAGAGCGACGAGACTTTGTTGGCCAGCTCTTTTCGATCTGCTTCGGACGCCACATCGCAAACAGAACCACACACTCGGAATTTTTTCCTCTGCCACTCAACTAAGCACTCATGAAGTTGGACTTTATTTCTTGAGCATGTGTATACAGTCGCCCCAAATCCTGCCAATTCCTCCACAATAGCGTACCTGAAAATAAGCATAATAATTAAATAGCTATAGTAACATATAGTACTGTGCAAACTATATAAATTATATATTATTAAATACGTAAGTACAGTCCATATATATAAACCAAGTTTTTATTTTTTTAATTTTTTTAATTTTTTTAATTTTTTTTTTTAAGAAGTAAGAATCAATATGTGATCTTCAACATATATAAACAAGGAATAACAACAAGAGAACAGTGACCCTATTCCTTTGGTTCCGCCAGTGACAAGAGCGGTCATTCCTTCAAGGGACCATCTTTGGCTCCTGCTACCAATACTACTACCTGCCTCAGCCATTCTGTTTTTTTTTTTTACCTCCAATACAACAATTATTATGGTTCAAGGTGGTTAATATATTGAATGTTAGAGAGACCTTTGAGTCTTGTGCGTATGTTAGTAGGCCAGTTAGACATGTGAATATATAGTAGTCGATAGTTAGACATGTGAATATATAGGACACGTTTAAAACTCGTTCTAAAACAATTTTATTTTTTGTATGAAAATGAAAATGAAAACGTTTTTAATCTCAGACAGAAATTATTTTTAAAAATGCGTTTGGTAATTTTATTAAGAGATTATTTTCAGTGTAAAAAAAATCAATTAATATTTTTCTCTCTTTCTCTTGACTCGAGAGAGAAGAAAACGAAAATAAAAAATGAAAAATGATTTTTTTTTCATTTCTCTTTTATTTTATACTAAATTAAAAAATTATTTTTATTTTTATTTTTATTTTTTATCTTTATTACGTAAAACACCGTTTTATAAATATTTTTATTTTTATTTTTCTAAAAAACATAAAAAATAAAAATAACATCAATTTCAAACACGCCCTAATAGTCGATACTATCATATAAAAGAAACTAGCAACGTCAATAATAGCGGCAAAGATGAGAAATAGAAAAAGAAATACAATTTATGAGGTGGTTACCAATTACACCACGTCTAGATGAAAATTCTAAGAGAAATGATGCAACGATGCCTTCATTGGCCCTCTTTTGACAATTGCTTGTTAAATTAGTGATGCGACAGATATTATTTGTTTATTTAAGTTTGCACACTAATCTGTACCCCGCCGTCGTTGTTACCATTTTTTTAAAGAAAATTTATACGTTTCTAATAAAGACCATTTTGCTATAATTTCTAACTTTTTTTTTTTTTTTTTTTTTTGGTTTTTTTAATAAAGCACAAAACCTGCTATATTTACTACAATTAATTTTAAACCCACTTATTTGTCACAGTTAATATCAGTTATTCTTTTACTACAATAATATCGTATGTAATGTTGCACGATACGAAATTTATGATACACATATGTTATAAAGAAATCTGATGTTAAGGTCAAATTTCTAAGGGAAAAAACTTGATACGTGTTATCAAAAGAAGCTAGTGAGTGATGCAGGGTGTGACGAAGAGGTTGTAGCTGTCATATCTCTCAAAATTGTAAAATTCGAATTGAATTAAAAATTAAAGAAGAACGTTTCTAGCCTTGAAATGTACTTTAGACTTTTCATACCATTTCTCGATCCTTTTATGTGCGCATTTAGATTTAAAGACATCGTTCTCTCAAGAAATATTAAAGAAGAAGCAAGTGTATTAGACTAGTGTTCGTGAAAATTGCAAGGGCAAGATAAAGTAACACGTAATAAAGAGTGAGTATAAAGTACGTTCCCTTGCGATTTGCATTAATTCTAATTCAGTACCGAAATAAATAACTTAAAAAGATTATTTAAATGGCCAAAATTGAATTAAAATTAATAAAACTAAAAATAACAAAAATAAAATAAATAACGTAAATTATCCAAGTCTATGGCTCACCAAAATTAATCATACAAGAAAATCCATATTTAAATTAATTATGTTTATTTTCTATACTAACAGTGAATTTTTTTAAATTAATTATTAATCTTTTTCCAGAAGTATTAATAATCATATTTCAAGAATGCATTTTTGCATGCTGAAACTTAATAATGACGAAGAGGTTGTATGTTAGCTTCTCTCAAAATTGTAAAATTAAAATTTATAACAAGACAATTCAATGTAAAATATGTGCGTGAAGAACGTCTCAAACCATAAAATGTTTTTCAACCTTTGGAATGTAAAGTCGCACGTCGTCCTCTAACAACGTAATCTATGAGATATTCAAGAAGAAGTAAAGTTGGACTAGCTAGCAGCATTTGGAGTAGCACGATGAAACGATACAAAAATGACATGAGATAAATATATTTAAACTGTACGATTATTAATTGGATCGTTAACGAGCTGATACGAATAACACAAAAATAAATGGACTGAATTTGTGCAAGCTCGTTTAACATGTTTAACCCGTTTAGTTATACGGGCCATTATCAAGCCGACACGACAAGGCCCGCCCGTTTATTTTTTTTTTAAGAAAAAAATATTTTCTCTTAAAAAAATATATTTATTATTTTTAGGGATTAATTGAGGCATTGGTTTGTACTAGGGATTGACTATTTAGAGAAAAAGGTATATTTATTATTTCTTGTTTATTTATTATCTTAGCTTATGTTATCTTAATCATATAAGTCATTTGTTATGTGTAGAAAATAACAAATCGAATCGTGAAGCTGTGGATGAAATTACTGAAGATATTTTTACTTTAGATATCAATGAGCCCACTTCTGATTCATCTCAAAATTCTCACAGCCTCAACACCTCAAATGCAATGAAAGGTAACATGAATTTTATTTATATATTGACATTCCTTGTTTAGTATGTATATCATATATAATATTATAATGCCCTTCCCTATCTATAAACTAAGTTTTACAAGTAATTCTATGAATTGTCTTTGGCCAATAACTAAATAACTAACAATAAAACAATATTTTAAGTTTAGTTTGTTTCTGGGGATGGCTTTTTTTATGTTTCTTTTTTCTTCACTGATTTTTTAACTCAGTATAGCAGTATAACAATAAAGATTTCTACATTTCTATCTTACGAATAAATTGTGGCATGCCCATGCTACAAATTTCCTTCATTAATAAATTGTTTTTTTTCATGAATAGGTTAAAGCGACTGAAAATTTTAGAGCGTACTTAGGCATTTAACCTAAAAAAAGACATTTTACTATATTTATTTTATGTTTTATGCACTTAAACATTCAAATATTAATGTTTTGAAACACACACACACATATATATATATATATATATATATATGATAATATAGTAGTATCATGTATATATATATATATATATATGCGTGTGTGTTTGACATTCGGATATTTTTATGTGTGTTGGCTATTGGGAAAAATTAGAGAATTTATGTTTTTCTTGTTATATAGTCGCCAGATTTTAACTACAAGTGATATTAAGTAATCAATTAATATTATATTTGAATACAATATAAAATTTTGCTATTTTTGCTAATTAGGTCATAAACGGGTCATAAACGTGTTTTTTTGTGTCGATTCATCACGGTCCGTCTAGTAACCGTATTTGGGTGTCATGTCATGTTAACCGTGTTATTAGCGTTCTGTGTTCGTGTTTGGATTTCTGACATGTTTATTAATCGTGTCGTGCCATAATCGTGTCGGTCTGAACACGACACGTTAACACGAATTGCCAGCCCTAACTGCAGCTGTAATAACATGAAGAATGAAACATGCTTAATTATGTTAATTGTGATTTATTAGTGTTCCTAATTTAATTTTTCTTTATTAATCATGTTTCTTAAATATTTTCTCATTTCCAAGTTTTAAATATTTCCAAAGAATTTTAACTATTTTCAGTATTTATAATTCCACCCCAGAAATGTGTGGAAACTCATTTCTACCTATTCTTCAAAATATCTTATGATGTCTATCTTTACCTTTTTCTTTCTCTCTTTATTTCTCACTTTTTTTCCCTTTTCTTTCTCTCCCTCACCGAATCACTCTCTCACTCTCTCTCTCATTTCTCTCGTCTCACTCTGTCCTTCACTCGACTATCTCTCTCTCTCTTCTTCTCCCTCTCAAACTCATTACCCTATCTCTCTCTCTCTAGAAAAATAAGAGGAAATCTTAGCTCTCTTTGCACAAGTAAACCAAAAAACAAAGGAATCATGGACTTGGATTTGAGTTTAAAGATTTTCAAGAAGTTTTTCTTCACAAAAGGAAGGACTAAGGTAAGATTTCCGAAAAATCTACTTTTGATTTCGGATAATCTACTTTTGATTTCGGATTTTCTCTTGGTGATATGGTTCTTGATTTGGGTTTTGATGAATTTTGATTTAAGTTTGATTTTGAATGAACTATGGTTGAATCATGATTAAAATTGGGGTTTTTTGATGTTGGAAAATTTTGATAATATTCCATGAAAATATCTTGAAATCGAACTCGAAATTGTAGGTTTTGGCATTTTTCTTTGTTGTTCGGTCATTTTTCTCGGCCTACAGAACTCTCACCAGTCGACCGGTCTCCACACCAACGGCCAACCGGTGGAGTTACACTCCTTTGCTACCGGTCGACTGGTTTGCACTTCTTCCGACCCAAAAACGTCTTAAAAACTTATTTGATCCCCAAATTTCAATGGAGAACCAACTTAACTTCATTTGAGATCTCAAAATGAGTGGATTAGCCATATTAATCCTTGTTCCATTCCATTTTTCTTGTTTGAGTTCCAAATTCTCAAAGAACCACAACTTGGATTAACAAGTTGTTTATAAACTTAGATTTTGAGTCAAGGCACACTAGTATGATACAATTGTACATAATTAAGCTAGATTGTTTAGAGGTGAGGTCCAAACTCTAAACCGTTGTTCAAGAATAGACGGTTGGACAACGTGAAGTTATCTGTAGACAAAGTTACCAAAGAGGTATGATATTCTTGACCATATGTTAGCCTTGTTTAAAATGACTTTGGCCTATGAAAACGTTTTAAAGGTAAAATGTATTTGATATCATTGAGATTTAAAGAAGAATTTAAAGTAATATTTTCCTAAAATGAGATATTTTAAGAAATGATAAAACACATGATGGCTTAGAAATTAGGGTCTGGAGATCATATCCTTGGGGGCAGGTCCCAAAACCCGTACGGGCCACTTCGGTGGTGATATCATGGCTTTACAATAAGGTAAGTGATTCATCATAATCTTGTAAATCACTTACTGTAATATGGAACTTGAAATTTATGATTATTTCCTTTCATTACAAAGGATGTTTGGTTCCGAATGATATGTTCAGACTATGTACTTTTATTTATTGATAAAACTTTATGAAATTATATCCTACTGGGCCTTTCGCTCATTTTTCTCTGTTTTTAATGTATTAAACCCCTTCCAGGCGACGCTAGAAGTAG